GGGTGTAGCCAGTCTGGCCAATGAAAGACCCATTGATGCTAGGACACAAAGTCGAGAGGACTGTGTGGAATACATTAGTCCAAACTCACTCCTGTTAGGACGAGCTGGGCCCCGAGGGGACCCAGGGGATTTCCAGTTCAAAGAATACCCTTACAAGAGATTACGAGTCATCCAAGCAGAGGTGAGCAAATTCCGCTCCATGGGAACTGAAACTCTCTGTTCCAAGACTGTGCTGTGCTGATGCTGGAAACTGGGTGAGGGGTGATAAGGAACATTTAAAATACAAAACATTGCACTTGCTGCTTTAGTGCACTCAGAAACAGACCTGATCTGTGGTCAACTGTACTCTCTTGACCAATAATAAATACGTCATGTTTATAAATGAACTGTCTTTATTTCAAATCTCATCATAAGGGAATTTTCATCACAGCACTAACGTCGGAGTGCTATTTAAGGAGATGCTCAAGGAAGGGACAAATGACCGTTTGGGTCATAGAGGGTGGAGGACTTGCTGCTATTAAAATATCTTATACTGATTTTATTTTACATGAATGTTTCCAAGAAGTTCATACAACTGCTTCCAGTTATAAACAAACAAATGCACTCTGCCTCTCACCAGTGTCATCAAAGTACTGTAGTTGTTCAGTAGGAAAACATATGAGAAGGTCATTTCTGTAAAACTGATGTCAACACACATCTGCTCTGGTCTAATTTTTTTTTTTATCAGGGGCCAAATATTTTGTGTTGGAGAGATGAATTTGGCTCGAGGGCCACTATTTATCTACCAGTGGCTATGCTCATTATGAGACGGGTGACAACTTAAAGGAAAGTCCTGAATAGATAAGTGAAAATAAACTGATAATCTCATGATTATTTCTGTGCTTTTTTGTTTCACTGAACAAATCAGGGGAAATGGCCCGTTTTGACTTTGCAGAGTACAGTCCAGTCCAGTACTAGTCCAGTACAACACCACCTTTAACTAGGACCTCAATAATAAACATAATTGAATTTATACATTTATGACAATTTCACAAAAACCAAAACATGTTGAGCTTCATAAACATAGATTTTAAGGCAGACGTGTTGCATTGAGTTGCATACAGTTGTACCTAAAAAAAAGATCAGTGAGTATATATACATATATGCATTGCAATTTGTCAAAATCTACGTTGACATTTTCAAATACTTGTGTTTGACTAAGAGCCCAAAATACAAAAATATTAAGTTTAGAAGATGCTGAAAATCAGCAAACATTCATATTGGAAAAGATGAAGAATTAATCACCACCATTTCTGATAACTACTTTATATTACATGAAGAAAACCTACCAGATCCTTATGTAGACCAGCAGGAGGAGCCTAAGGGAAGACAAGCAGCCAGTTGTGTCACAGCGATGCAGCAGTACTCTCCACACTCTCTGCTTCTCTCAAGGCTGTAAATGCAGATGGTGGAAATAGTGCAAATAGATACAGAATAAGAAAACTAAGGAACTACATTAGTCACCCAGTCTCAGCCCAGTCACCTCCATGTAAGGTGCTGTCAGCACTACCTTATACTGCACCACAGCACACAACCACAGGCGACCCCATGAGGCAGCTTTAACCCTCCAGGCTTTTACTAGGAGGAGGGACACAGTGGGTTGAGTATGCACGGACATTGAGTATATACTGAGTCACTCTGAAAAAACATGTTCTCAGGCAGCCTTCACTTTCTTGGTCACTCTCCTCTCTCGCCATCTTGCTTTTTTGCAACCAGATTCTGCAGAGTAGCAACCAGAAGTGGAGTGACAGCATCAGATGTCCAATCAATGTGTCAAATCAACTGAGATCTTTATATCATAAAACAACTTATTAAAAAAAAACTTACCAGAAAATAACCACACACATTAGCTACCAAAAAGTACAGAAGTGACCTCTAGGAAAAATGTATCTGGTTTGAACTTTGAGTTTAATTTGGCTCATGTCCCATCCACTAACATGGAGAGGCAGGATTTATGACCTATACTGAAACCAGCCACCAGGGGGTGATCGAGTCACGGTGGCTTCACTTCTGGGAGCTGTCATGGCGTCTGTTTGTTCTACAGTCCATGATCTGAACTGTTAATTCATCACTCTCTTTGCTATGTACTTAAGCCATTTACCCACTGATTTTTAGCAAACTGATCAGACTTATCACAGGACACATTCACAACACCATGATATTTCTCTGTGTCCCATGAGAGCATATCTAGATAAAGACGGCTCTGTGAGACCAAGATTAAAATATACTGTAGTATATAAACATAAAATGCTGCTTTGTAAAGTGTTGTATTGTATTATAAATAGTGGGAAAACACAGAAAAAAGCACAAATACACTGACACCATAAGACAATGCTCAAAGGGTATTTATTATCATCATAAGTGAGGTGATCATAACAAAGATCAGGTGTTGATTATGCTGACATTTCCATTCTTCATTTACATGTGAACAACAAACATCTGTCCTCCGTATGCTCGATTGACAGGACCCCATTCCCAAAATGTGTCAGGTTCATCGCATCATTTCCCAGGGCTCTCACATTCCGTCCCTCACCTTCAATGTCAACATATACATATAACACACACCACACTGCTTCAAATATTAAAAAGCACTTTCCCACTCATCCCAGGGATAGTCACAGATGGCTCTGTAATGTACCATGATGTATGGTCACATTGTACATGCTGACCCTAAAACAACTCATCTTTAGAGTCAAAGTTATGGTGATCAATGAGAAAAGAATGCTTCTGCATTTCTGATCCTCATTTTCAGGTCTTCCTTCTCAGCCACTGGTCGTCCAGAGGTCTGGGACTCAGCCAAGTCGTATCCAGCTCGCACCTCATCTCCCTCCAGAGGTTACAGCATCCACCTGTTGTCCTCCAGATGAACTCCAGCTCATGTCATCAAGAGTACTGGGGCTCGGTTCATTGTTCTCTAAACCTCTCCCCGATTTTCTGGGGCTCTCACATCCCATCCCTAATCTTCAATATGAACATAAAAAACACACACATTACTTCAACTATTACCAAATATTATTCTTATTAGCTTTAGTTACACACACACACACACACACACACACACATTTCATTGTCACAGAAACAAAGACATAAGGGAACAATACTCAATAAACAACAATATATATAAAAAAGTAAGTTATTTGTCTCTAAAATGTAGTGACGTCAATGTATGAAGCAGTACAAAATGAAAATACTCAAGTAGAGTACTTATACCACAAAAATGTAATTAAGTACAGTACTTGAGTAAAAGTACTGAATCACTTTCCACCACTGGCCATATATCGACCAGACCAAATGCTTTACATGTCTTTAACAAACTCACTCATCCTTGAAAGGTTTGATCTCAGGGTACTGTGGTCTATTACTGAGT